TGTACTTCACCATGCTAGCAAAAAGAAAACCCATCCAAATTCTGCGCCACAATAACTTCTTACTAAGAAAAGCCGGATTTTGTGATGTGACCTCTATAAATTAGGCCAGCTAAGGAAATCTGCATACAGTTGCTAAATTCAAACCATTTTATCTGCCTCTCTTAGCTTTGGGAAGACAGAAAGAGCTGCAGAAGGGACTGGAAGCCCCCTAGGGGTGCCAGCCTCTAGGGGGGACCTGAGGACCCCCCCCCAAATTACAGCTCATCTCCAGACTACAGAGATCAGTTCCCCTGGAGAAAACGGATGCTTTTTGGAGGGTAGAATCTAGGAGACAGTACCCCACTGAGGTCCCTGTCGTCCCCAGGCTCAATCCTCAAATTTCCTGGACGTTCTCAACCTGGATCTGGCAACCCTACCCCCCCATCCCCTGCTGGTGGCCAGGGGGCACCTGACAGCCCTAAGGTAAAGGTAAAGGTTTCCCTTGCTCAAAAGCCAGTCGAATCCGACTCTAGGGTGCGGTGCTCATCTCCGTTTCCAAGCCGAAGAGCCAGTGCTGTCCGAAGACTTTTCCGTGGTCACGTGGCCGGCATGACTAGATGCCCAAGGTGCCCGGAACGCTGTTACCTTCCCACCGAAGTGGCACCTATTTATCTACTTGCAATTTCTTGCTTTCGAACTGCTAGGTTGGCAGGAGCTGGGGCCTCACTCCATCATGCGGCACTTGGGTCTCGAACTGAGCCACCACAGCCCCTCAACAGCCCTAAAGCCTCCCCTAAAAATGATTCAAGAAACTCTATTGAACCCCACTCTAAATCCAGCCCAAGCAGGGCCTGAAAACAGAATTTTCAGATCCCTCTTAGCCTAGATTCCCTCCCCCCCCAACCGCCATCTAAATCTGGCAAACAAGCTGCAGACATTGATTCTGCAGACATTGGTCCCAAGGAGGTCGCTGTCTGGGACCAATTCTTCTGTTATAACTACTTGGATGTCTGTGGAACGGAGTCTAATAAATGTTAATAGCTCAGCCTTAACTCCAGCACTGGGAACAGGGAGATTATAATTAATGTGTTATTTCAGCAGCATGAAGACGTTGACATTTAGTTTCTGCTGAAATTTATAGTGTGATTGAGGGAAGGAGGGCTGGTAGGGAAATTATACAAACGGGGAGACTAGAAATCCTTGCCTCAAAGACATCGTCCGTGCAGGCTGCTGCTACTATGAACTCCTTTGTCCTCTGAGGTGTACTTTATGCCCATGGTGTCTGCTAGATGGCAGTGTGGCCCACCTAGGAAGAAAAGGGACTTGGCAACGTGTACATAAAAACTGGCAGCAAAACACGCAATGGCAGCAGACTCTCCAGCTTCACCTAAATCAAAGAACACCAGTTTTCATCGTATAATGTCTTGATTCCTGATGCCAGAACATATGCCTCTAACGTTTCTTGAACAGGCCGCCAGCTTTCTTGCCTCAGTACTGGATTTGTTGGTATATCTGATATCTTAAAATCCAGAGTCTACAGTATTTGTGAAGTTAAACCTGTGAAACAAGCCTCAAACAATCAGTTTTGTGCCACCTTAATGCAAAACTACAACAACCACAAAATATTCCGGTCAGACTTGAGTTCAGTAGCACCTTGGACCAGCAAGATCTCCAGGGTATGCGCCTGCAAGAGTCAAATGTCCTACTTGGTATCAGAGAAAGGGAGCTTTGACTCTGAAAAGTTTATCCCTTGGAAATCCCGTTCGTCTTTTAATGTGCTCCTGGACTTGCTCTTCTATCGCAGACCAACATGGCTACCCACCTGGAATTAATTTTTCCAGATAGCAAATTTTACATTCTGAAGTTAAGATATATGGGCCAAGAGTGATACCTACAATACTCAATGGAACTGACATGACTTTCAGTTTGGTGTAGTGGTTAGGAACGTGGACTCTAATCTGGGGGACCAGGGTTTGACTCCCCACTCCTCCACATGCAGCTGCTGGCGTGGCCTTGGGTCAGTCATAAGTTCTTTCAGAGCTGTTATCTCAAGGGCAGTTCTGGAGAGAGCTCTCTCAGTCTCGCCTACCTCACAGGGTGTCTGTTGTGAGAAGGGGAAGGGAAAGGAGATTGTAAATCGCTCTGAGACTCCTTTGGGTAGTGAAGGGCAGGGTATAAATCCAATCTCCTCCTCCTCCTCCTCCTCCTCCATAGGGAACAGCTGCTCTCAAATTTCATGTGACAAATGTAGGCGGTAGCACAACACTGTTTTACTAAAGGCGATCAGTATCTATGTTCAAGAGCTGCTAGGAGGAAAGAGCAGAAGAGAGATCCCTAGGGGCCATTGGGTAACTATTAGAATTCTAAGCCTATTGTTCACAAGGAAGCATTTCAATGGGTTTAAGAACATCAAAGGACACTGTATTAAATGGTGGCTTTTTGGTTGTGATCTTGAGGAAGTGACAGCGCTCCAGTTTCCCTTGCCACTTTCTGTTGCTGAAAATCCTAACATCAAAGTGCTTTTAAAAAATCACCCTATGCATTAAAAACAGACATTGCAGTTTGCACGGATACATGAGGCCATATAACAGCAGAAGTCCCAAGTATAAAAGGAGATCTTTCAGTCTCTAACCCTTTTCATTGTGGAAATATATCTTTGCACCAAAAAGGAATAGTAACTTGCTTAAAAAAAAAAAGCTGGGAATTTAGAGGAGCTAGTACATTGCAGCAATATACTGTTATTGCATTGTAGTTCAGGTGACACTGCCGCCCCCCCCCCGAAAGTCCCGTGGTGGTCTGGGAGGGGGAAATGGTGGCCATGAGGGGCTGAAGCAAGGAAAATGGTACTAGTGCTGGTGAGACTTTAAAATAGGGGCACCTTCTGCCCACGTGCATGCAAAGGTGCTTTGATGGGAAATCTTTTTTGGGGGGGAAAGAGGTGGCTGAAAGATTGAAGCAAAAGAGGAAGAAACCAGGAAGTGGACGAGTAGGGGGATGGCATCATGTGGACACTCCAAAAATCCCATTCCAGTTTGGATGTGAAACCAGAGCAAACCCTTCATGTGCAAGCAATCACCAATTCCAAGCAAAGCGCAGAGAAGACTATAGCTAGTAGTATTATCTCCAGATAGACACAGATTTAATAAAGTGCATCACATACATCAATGCGTTTGAGTGCTTGTTCGTTACTTCCAATAAAGCTGAATCACTTGCTGAATCACTCTACGGGTCCTTTGTTAGCGCGATCTAACAAGTAGTATTATCTCCAGATAGACACAGATTTAATAAAGTGCATCACATACATCAAAAGGAGAAATCATCAGACAATGTTTACTATTAAAGATTCTACCCAGATTTGTATTAACAAGCTTCAGTAGTCCATAACACTTACCTTCAGTACAATAATAATCTTTACAGTCCAAAGATTTTAAAAAATCAACCAACTAGGAGACTACATTTCACAGGGTGCACTGTGTGGCATGTCAAACACTGCCAGAGCAGTGGTCAGAGGTGCTGGGAAAGGGAGTAAGAAGGAAGGGAAGGGAGGGAAAGTGAGCCAGGGACCGATTCCCCACAAACAGCTGTGTCATCATCGCTCTTCCATTTTCCCCAGTCGTATTGGTCAATTTCACACTATTCACTGCACGGCCACATTTTGACCCGCATCTCCCCCAGATTTCCTTTGCATCTTCTCGGTCCTCAAAAAACATGACTGAGAAGATGCAGGGGAAATTGGGGGGAGATGCAGGTCAAAATACGGCCATACAGTGAATAGTGTGCAATTGACCAATACGACCAGGGGAAACGGAAGAGTGATGGCAGCACAGCTGCTTGTGGGGAATCGGTCAGGGAATCTACCTGTTGGCTGACCTACCAACTGGCAGATTGGCTGGTCAACTAGCCACATGCCCATCACTGCCAGACTGGCTACCTAGCAGCAGCCACCACCAAGTAAAGGGGGTGAGTGGGACAGGTGTAATTTTGGTAGTGGTGCGTGGTCAGGGGCTCATGGGAAAGGCCCAGCAAATACAAGCAGGAGTAATTTGCCAGGCCTTTTTCTGATGTGAACCTGGAAGGTTTTACCAATAGTTGACACCTACTCATGGCATTTTACTCCAAATCCCGTTAAAATCTCTCCGTATGGTTTCAATGTAAGGCTGTGGTCACACTCATTAAATAAATAATCCACCTTTATTTCACTTTCAGCGCACGTTCTAAATGGATATTACTGTATGAACTGGCAAAATCCAGTATACTTTTTTGGTGATGCATTGTTTATTTTATTGTCTTATACTATTTCCCCCTTGTTCATAAATTTTGTAATTTACCTTGAGTCTCATCAGGAAAGGCAGACTCTAAATAAATAACCTGTTGACTATGGGCGTTAGTAGCCAATGGCTGATCCTCATCACTGTTACTGACTACTAGCTGATGGATGCTCGGGAAACCGTCAACAGAAGTGCCCATAAAGTATCCTTTCTCAGAGCCTGTCTTCTTTTCCCTTGTCACATTCAGCCACGTTTTAGCCAATATGCCATTCCTCCTTTTTGACAGATTTGCACCCGCTCCCAACATCATCTAACTGTTGAACAAAACAGTCCAAGGTGTCATCACTCTAAATTTGTGTTTGAACAAACTCTCACTTCTTTAGCAGCCAGGGGCTCAATCTTTCTCTAGGAAACATTATCCAAGGACCAAACTAGGATGATATTGTATTCCCGAGTCTACCATGTGGACGGAGTGCCATTGTAGAGCCTGTGTGTTACTTTCAGAATTGCTGTGGGGTTCCCATACTACCAATAAAAACGGTGGTGGTGGAGAGTGGGAATCCCTCACCCCCCTAAACTGTGATCCCGGGCAAGTTTGGGCCCCTGTGGTAATTTTAAAAGTGAAAAGTGGTGCTCTGTCCCTGCGGCAAACTCAAGAATGCAATCTCATCTAGCTTGGCCCTAATCTGAAGAATACGAAAGGAACAAAACACCATTATCTGTTGGCCTGAACTGTAAGTATTGTTTACTTACCGGCTTGATATCATATGCAAAAAGTGCATATTCTCTGTCTGGTGATACTTCATATCGAACAGCCCTTATGGATACCTAAAAGCAAAACAAAACCCAACACCCCAAATAAATACATTTTAATACACATGCATAATTTCACAGGTAAAAATAAACAACAACTGATAGCTTCTCCAGAATGAGATGCTTTGGGAGAACATTGTGACAGCAGGGAAAATGCAAACCTTACTAGGTGAAACACTGGCTGTGGTCACACATACTAAATAATTCACTTTCAGTGCACTTTCCAACTGGATTTTACTGTGTGTGAACTGGCAAAATCCAGTTCGAAAGTGCATTGAAAGAGGATTGAATGTGGATTAGTGTGTGTGACCGTAACCACTGACTGACTCAACACCTACAGGAGGACCAGGGGAACGCACAAAGATTCCTGACACTGCAAATATTAACACCTGGCACAGTCTCAAAGGGCTAGTTTTCATGGTACCACAGCATATGCTGTACATACCACAGGGGTACAAGAGCTAATCTTTGCCACACACATTCCACGACACACATAGACAATTCCACAAACAAAACTTTTTTTTGTTTCGCATAAACAAAACCTATTTTACCAGGGCACCAAGTGAGCTGTGTGTTGTACAAAAGAGACTGTTCCAACCAATGTTCCCCCTAAGCTGTGGAGTCTCGTGAGCAAAAATTCTACTTTGTGAGCTACTGGCATTGAAGTTGTGAGCGAGCCATTGGGCTCCTGCATTAATTAGTTTGCTCTGGAGCCCTCCTTCCTGAGCTGAGACAAAAATGTGTGAGCTGGAAGATAAAAAACTGTGAGCTAGCTCACACTAACTCAGCTTAGAGGGAACACTGATTCCAACATGACACTGTCTTGGGTAGTTCCAGGCGGGCAGCCATGTTGGTCTGAAGCAGTGGAACAAAGTTTGAGTTCAGTGGCACCTTTAAAAACCAACAAAGGCCCTGTTCTCACGAGGGGTTTTGGGCCGGGAGTGGGCTGGATCGGGGCCGCAGCAAACAATCACCCGGGGGGATGGCGTCCCCCAGCGTCCCCCCCAAATGACCCCTGTTTGCCACACACATTCCACGACACACATAGACAATTCCACAAACAAAACTTTGTTTTGTTTTGCATATTTTTCCAGCAGCACCAAATGAGCACGTGTGTTGAACATAAGAGACTATTCCAACATGACACTGTCTTGGGTAGATGCAGGTGGGGCAGCCATGTTGGTCTGAAGCAGCGGAACAAAGTTTGAGTCCAGTGGGGGCACCTTTAAAAACCAACAACGTTTTATGCAAGCCTATACCTTGAATGAGACTTTGTTGGTCTTAAAGGCGACACTGGACTCAAACTTTGTTCTACTGCCTTGGGCATTTTGCCTTTCTGTGAATAATCTATAGGCTGGGGGCAGGGTCGAAGGAAACCCTCCTTCGCACTAAAGGGGAGATTAGTCCGCTCTTGAGAACCTTTCGGTCATGAATGGGAAATCCTCCCGCACTGCTGAAAAGGTGAAGGGGAATTGGTACATTTTCTGCAAACCCAATTCCCCCCTCCTTTTCGGGAGAGCCTGTGACAAGCCGCTGGCTTCCCTGAAGCTTGCTGAAATCCCAGCTCCAGCGGGATGGCAGCTCACATCCGCCTGCGTCTTTACACTTGTATTCTGTTTACAATTTGTATATTGTTCATTGATGTTGTTACCTGCTGATTTGTAATTGTAAAATTTTGTCAAAAATAAAAATTACTTAAAGAAGAACTGCATAAGAACATAAGAGAAGCCAATGTTGGATCAGGCCAATGGGCCATCCAGTCCAACACTCTGTCACACAGTAGCCAAAAATACCAGGTGCCATCAGGAGGCCCACTGGTGGGGCCTGGACTCTAGAAGCCCTCCCACTGTTGCCCCCCCCCAAGCACCAAGAATACAGAGCATCACTTGCCCCAGACCAGAACTGCATCTTGCTGCTTAGACCAGGCAATTGAAAAAGCTTACTAGTTTAGCAAGGCTCTACATGTGAACTCAGTCTTCAAGCTATTTTCTCCTTTCTGGGCCTGAGCGCCAAACAACTGTGAAATTATTCTGGCCGTTAAAGAAGGTACTTACAATTATTTTGTTATCTATTAACACAGTTGACCTGTTTGTTTCAACATTCTGCAATATCACAGACCCGTTCCGGTTTCTGTAAATGAATTCAGTATCTGTAAGAAGGAGAGAAGAACAAAAAGAAAACTGTGATAGGCATCAAACAAATTATCAAAATTTGGGCTACAGAATTTGTTTGCTCATCGAGGTCTGAGGTACATCAATCTGCAGTTCAAACGTTCAAATTGTGCCCTGCAGGTCTGGGATGTGATCTTAGGCATTCCACAATGGGATCACTAACTGTGAACTAGTTAAGTGGAAATACAAGTTTTTGTGATAGTTATTTTCTTCTGAGGCACACAACCACAGGGGAGGACACATTCTGCGATAGAACTGACTCCACCCCGCCCAGAATCTTCTGTAGTGCTGAGAAGTTTTGTGGCAAATCAGTCAGTGCTGAAAGTCAATATCACCTGAAGGTAGAACTGTAAAAACTTTGCTTTATTAAAATACTGGGAACCCATACTACTTCGAATAAAGTAAATCTAAGATGGTACTTAATACACACACCACCCAATGTGTGCAAATTGAAGGAGAGCCCTGCTAAAACTCCTAGATATAGCAAAGTAGTTTTGAAGAAGATATCAAAATGGGACAATCAGCCAGCAAACCATTATATTGTTCATACATTGTCTGTTTTGGACTATTTAATTGTTTATATTGTTTGACCGCTTATATTGTTAATACATTCACCGATTCAAACCGCTTCACTGTTTACACTTTCTGTTTTGGGATTTTTCACAGAAGTTACAAACTGAGCGTCTTTGGATTTTTTTGTAGTAATACAAACGGCTCTGTGCTTTTTTATAAGCTCTGGTTCTGTGTACCTCTTTTTCTCTGGTTTTCAGAGGTATCTCCCCCTTCCTCTTTCCTTTGTAAAACTCCTAAATTGTAATTGGTGGTGAGGGGGGTTGAAAACCAATAATCTAAATGAAAACCAATGATCAAGAACAAGCATGGCCAATGATGCTCCTATAAACAGAAGCATGGATTAAAACCTGTCCTTTCGGGGCCAAGATTTCCCAGATCATTTTAAGTGGATCATTTGGATTGGCTAATCCTGTTCATGGAATCAAGGTGCTTAAGGTAAAACATAATTTTGAAGTTTAAGGGAGTGTTTTCTTGGTTCTATGTTACACCATGGTTTTTGTTCAGTACCATGGGGATTGTAATGGCAAAACCTAGAACTCTGAATCCCAGAATCTTCTGCCGTCCTGGAAATTTTACAATTGCTTTCACATCTTCCCACCAACCCCTCCATTTCTTTTCCCAACATACTACATATTGGAAATGCATAGGTACAATTGCAGCACTCGTGGTGGTGGTAGAGGAGGAAAGAGCTGTCAAGTTGCAGCCAATTTATGGTGACCCCTCATGGGCAGGGGTCATTTCTTGCAGGAGCGCACAGGAGCGGAGCTCCGGCAGTAAAAGCCCAGGGGGCGGGCACATGCAACAAGCCCCACCCCCTGCTCCCAGAAGCAAGAAGCAGCCAGGTAAGGTGCAAAGCCCCCCCAGCCCCCCGGTCCAAAACAGTCCAGTGGCACCTTTAAGACCAAGTTTTATTCAGGTACAAGCTCTCCCTCCTCTGCGAGGACAGATCTGCACGTCCCCCCCCCCAATCGCTAGCAATCCAAAGCAGTCCAGTGTTGCCTTCTGACACACTTCTGGTGATGTCAGGGTGTGTGGCATATGCAAATAAGTTATGCTAATGAGTTACGTTAATGAGCCCCTGCACCTCTTTTTCTACGAAATGACCCCTGCTCATGGGGTTTTCAAGGCAAGAGACATTCAGAGGTGGCTTGCCATGGCCTACCTCTGTGTCGCGACCTGGGTCTTCCTTCGTGGTCTCCCATCCAAATACTCCCTGCTCAGCTTCCAAGATCTGATGAGACCGGGCTTGCTGGGGCCATCTAGGGCAGGGCAGCACACTAGAGTTTACTATGATACCAAAGAATCTGAACACTCTTTTAAGTGAACGAAGCAACCCACATCAAAATCCAATTTCTGTCCACATCCCGCAAAACTTAGAATTGATAAAGGAAGCCAAACGACATGGTTACCACACAAGATACGTTACATTTTGAATAATTAAATAGTCTTCTAAGGTTTAGAAGGACTGGCTTTTGGAAGCTTGGAACATACACCCTACATCGTATCAAAAAAAGGGCCAGGAAAAGTGAAAAAGTAAAACCAACATTGATCTGCTGGGGCTGGAGATCTTGCTGTTGCAGTCAATATGCGTCATCAGCAAAGGGTCGAAATTTAATGAAGAGCAAATTGGCTTGCTTTAAAGAAGCAGACATTGATCGGCTTTGTGACCCAAAGCAAAACACAATAAGGCTTCGCCAGTCTCCAAGTCCTGTAATCATAGGCGTCTTAAGATCAATGAGTAATCATTCTCAGTTGGTGTTTTGAAATGTGTGATTCATATTATTGAAGCTGTATTCATTTTAATAGGGCGTCCCTCAATCAAAGACAGAGAGTAACGTAGCAATCTTTGTCTGTAATGAATTCTGTCCAGCAGGCTGATGAGAATTTCAGCCTGATTTATAGTTGTCATCAGAGCTGATAAAGGTCATCACTGAATCTCATTTTTAATGCTTCCAGTTTTTATACGGGACTGTTTTCAGGCAAAAGGATGTTGATATTTTGAAACTCCCTAGGCAAAGAACTGTTTTTTCCAGTATACACACAGGATATGCCAAAATCCCTTGAATGAATTAACTCCTGTTTGTTTACAGGAAACTAACCAATAAACCCCTTTGTACAACAGAAAATGCTTTTGTTTAAGCATGGGGGCGGGGGAAGGTTGATATTCCAGTTTGGAGTAATGGTTAAGTGTGTGGACTCTAATCTGGGAGACCAGGTTTGATTCCCCACTCCTCCACTTGCAGCTGCTGGACGACCTTGGGCAAGCCATAGTTCTGTCACAGCTGTTGTCTCAAGGACAGTTCTGGAAAGAGCTCTCTCAGCCCCACCCACCTCACGGGGTGTCTGTTGCGGGAAGGGGAAGGGAAAGGAGTTTGTAAGCCGCTCTGAGACTCCAAGTGAAGAGCGGGGCATAAATCCAATCTCCTCTTCTTCCTTATGGGTGTCAACCTCTTGCATGTTATCAGGCACCAACTCTGGAGTGTCTGTGCCCTTGGAAGGCACTTTTTGAAAGATATGGGGGGCTGCCAATTGAAAAGGCAGAAACAAAACTGTGCCCAAGATGTGTTAGCTCCCACCTATTGTGCGTTTGAACATGAATCATTTGACGATTGCTGGCAAATCCCTAATTCATTTTCTGGATTACTGTAAATAAATATCTCTCCAGTATATTTGATAACATGAAGATACCGAGTAAAGTCACTGGAGAGGACAGGCTGTGAGGAGAGAGACCAGTGGAAGGACACAGCCATTCTCTCCCTTTACTTGCTACCCTTCAATGGGACTTCATGAAGCTGAGGGACTAAACAATACAATGGTGGGTAGTTCCAAGGGGAGGACTGACCCCTTAATAATGGTGACAACAGGAAGTCCTTTTCACAGCGAACCCTGTAGAGCTAGTGGCAGAAGAACCTAGTACTCCTCTAGGAGAGAGGCCACGGCTGACTGGAACAGTATCTGCTTGGCATATGGAAGGTCCCAGGTTCAATCCCCAGCATCCCCACTTAAAAGGAATCAGGTCGTAGGAGATGTGAAAGACCTCAGCTTGACACCCTGGAGAGCTGCTGCCAGCCCAAGTAGACAATACTGAACTTGGTGGACCAAGGCTGTGATTCACGTTTGCGCACTGCCACAGGGTCATTCAGCCCCAGAAGATTCAAAGCGGCAATGGTCAGGTGTTTTGGTAGTTGATTCTGTGGCTCTGGCAGACAACAGGACCCAGCGGTTGCTGTTGCTGAAATCCTACTGAGCACCAAGAAGCCATGGAAATGTATTGATGGTGGTAGCTGTGATGCAAACAGCACTGCCTGCCCGCCTCTTCAAGGAGAAGATGGGCAGAGGATCAAAAGGTCCATGTAAGTGTGTGTGTTACAGTGCAGAACACTCACACTCTCCTTCTGTTTTAGGGCAAAACTATACATGAGAGAAGACTCTTGAGAACTATACATGCTGGAGAAGACTCTTGAGAACTATACATGCAGAACACAGAGCTGCCACCAAAACTGGCATCCCTGTATTCGCTTCTCTTCTCCTGTCTACAGAACAGAGTTCCCTTTATCCCTTAGTTTTAGTATCATTTCAATATGTGTTTCCATGCTCCACTAACAGCAGTCCATTATGTGCTTGGGGCAGAATAACACACACTAAAATGATGTCAGGACACGGGGTAAGTTGAACTGATATTTGTGGGAAAGAAAGGGAGAACTCAGCACAGAGATACCATTTTCAGTGGAAGCCCCGTGCAATATATCTATTATCTACCCTTTACTAGACTGTATATCCACCAAGAATCTCCCCTCTCCTTCACTTACCCTCACGAGTGGCTACATGCTGCAGGGTGTATCTCTGTTTAAGACTGCACTGTAAACTACTCACTTTGTTGCTACTTTCTGCTTCTTATAAGGGGTAGCCATGTTAGTCTATCTTTGCAAAATAAAACACAAATCCAGTGGCAACTTAAAAGATTAACATTTATTTCAAATACGAGCTTTCATGAGTCACAGAGCTTACTCCCTCAGACATCTGGAAGGAAATCAAACTGGGAATTCTATTTAAAGGAAAGATTAAAAGAAGATTATAAAATGGGTTGGGATGGAGGGCTGGGTGCGGGCTTTTCAGGTGTAAATCCTCTGTGTGAATGACTAGAATGTGATTAGCAGTTACAAACAGATAAGCAAGGTGATGGAGTTACTCATGGAGTAGTCAGAAGTTTAAGCAAATTAACTGGTATTGGTAACAAGGTTATGTAATAACAGCCAACTAAACTTTCTAAAAAGTGAGCCAAGTTGAACAATTAGAGATTGCAGTAAGAAAATCCAAGTCTCTGTTTAAGCCAGGATGACATGCAGCATTTAATTTTTGTCATGCACTTTAATTCAGCATTTTTATGTTGTACGATGCCTTTGAT